GTGCGCGTTGTTCGACGTCGACGTGTTACTACCAACTTGCTGGCGGCCACCGCTCCGCCGCCGGATACCGGGCATATTCTTCCCCCACCCCGTGCGCCTACCCCGTTGCCCGTCGCGCGCTATCTTTTTTCCCCGCGGCATATCTCTCTCTCGCACTCTCGAGCCGAAATCGTAGTGTCGCTCGCGCGCCAGTTGGCCGTTTGTCTGACACAGGGAGGTCATAGCCGTCCACGATCGAACCGAAGCTACCGTAGGTACCGTTTGCATAAAACAATACACGCGCCGCGAACAATCGCCGTTGCTCCGTTACAACCGCTGCCGTTTGTATTTAACGGTATCGCGAACCGTTTTACCGCACGCTCGTCCCGATCCGGAACGGTGGTGTGTGTCCCGCGGATTGATGATACTTTTGCGTTATGTCCCCTCTTTCCGCGGGAACCCGTTGGTCGCAACACTGTTAGTACTTGCCATCCGGTAGTCCGAGAAATGAGAAAAAAAAAAAAAAAAAAATTTACACGATCGAATAATAATCGGTTGAATAACAGTCGTCGATTTCAATCGAATTTAATCGATCGTCATTACCGGTGTCGGTAGGTCGACGCGATACGTTGTCGACGGTCATTTCATACCGTTTGGTCTAAGCCAATTGTTCGGCGTTGTGGTAGGAGTAGTTTAGGCGATGGTCACCTGTGCTTAGCGAGGCACCTGCGCGACGACTGCGAACGCGTTAAAAGAAAACATACCTTAACTCGTATCTGTTTTGTTAACGATTAGGTCGTCGGTTATTGTTGAACTGTGCTGCGAGAACTGTCAAATTGTGTCATCATGCTGTCAAACGCGAATCGATTTTCCTTGGCCACGCGAATCGGAATTCAAAGGTAAATGAACGGTCGTATGAAAACTAGCTAATATCCTGCTTGATGTCGTGCCCTAGTATCTATGTCTTCTTTGGTGGTGTTGGATATCAATCAACATTTCTGTGTGTTTTCGTCTAGTTCTTCTGTTCAGCTCGAGTGCTTATACTTTGTTTCATTGATTGATTGGGTGAATAACAATAATAGTACATACGTACAATGGGAATGTGATGGGTCTTTTATATTTTAGAGTGTTTAGTGTCCTAAAAATGTCTACCCTATTTTTATACTCAACTGCAGTTTGCTCTATGACTATGATTATTTTACTGTTTACAACATTATTCGTAATGTGTATCTGATTGTCACATTAGAAAAATTAGTTGGGAGTCAATATATTATAGTTAGTCATGATTTGTTTACAGAATGTGTCATGTGAACAACGAGTGATTGAGTAATAATGATTAATTACTATTAGATAAAAATGAAATATTTGTATGTAATTTATGTCCAGAATTAAACAGTATCTGGACTTATTACTAATTATGTAATCCACAATTATTTCTATTATTATAGCTTTTAAAACATAGGTCTAATGTATGTACTATTTATGTTATGAAAGCAATAATTTTACATGAATATGACCCAGTATTTAAGAATCAATTTACTCATAATTTGGAAAGGATAGTGGTAGCTAATTATGTATAATTTAGGTAGTCATTTGAGGTGATTTCTATTATTAATTAATTTTTCAATCAGGATATTGAGATTACATAATATTTATTACTATTGTTATTGTTTATCTTAAAATGTGTTTATTACTATTGATTGATATTTATTAAAGTACATAGTTTAAATCGTTAATTTATTTTAGTCATCTAAATTTGATTAATTGAACTAGTGTTGATAATTATACAGTTGAGTTGATAAATTGACAAAATAAATAGAATAACATATTTATCCTTTTTTTATTTCAAACAACAATATTGCTTATAGATAATTTTATACATTTTCAATAAACATCTTGGTTAATTTTGTTTGAAATAAAATATTTTTTTATTAATATTTTCATAGTTGAGTATATTGAAATGTTATTATGGAATGTCATATTATTGGCAAACTTACTAATTCAAAAATAAAATAGTAAATTTCAGATACTTCTAATAGATACAGTATTCATTTGACTATTTTTATTTATGTTAGCTTTCACATATTAGATCATTGGGATAGATGCAATAATAATTTTGTCTTTAAAAGAAATTAAAATGAATAATTTTAAATATTGTTTTTGCTTAAAACATATACACCAGTAAATTATGCGTATGACAAATATCAACCTTGGCCAATATTTTTACTCATGACATTCGTAAACTAGACAAAAATAGATTGATAAATGTGTTTAAATGAAAATCTAATTCAAATCAATTTAATAATTTTCATAAAATTTAGACTTAAATAAAACCAAGTGCCTGATTTCCTAAAATTGTAATATTTATGAAATTTTATTTTATATTTTATAATAAATGTAAACATGTTATTTGTTATTTTAAATTATTATTTTATTTTAGTTTGTGTTGCCGAAGCATTGGATCTGTTACTCTTCCTAAAATTAAGGATTTTACTGTAGAAAATGAACCACTTTTAGGTAAGCTAATGTAAGTTATATTAATAACAATGTTTTATATTGACTTAAATGAATAATGTATTGTTAAAATTAATTATGCATATCATCAGCTGATTGAATTATTATTTTGAACGTGGTACTGGATTTATTAGTGAACATTTTTATCAGTTAATTACAATTACAAATATTAAGTGGTAATTTATTTGAGGTCAATGTAGCATGCAATTAAGAGCTTTATCTTAAAAATAATACTATTAAACAAACAATATAATTAAAATATATAACATAATTATGTACCATCTATAATTTGACTTAATATTAATTAAAATACAGGTATTTATTTAGTTATTGATTATATTTTTTATATTAAATTGAATAATATATATATATATATATATAAATATATATAAAGCATTAGATAATGTTACCTAAAATTATTATTATGATTTTTAGTTGGTCTATTAATTAGAAAAATAAAAAAGTGTTTAAACATTCCAACAATTAGTAAGTTTAATAGCTTATAAAATATTATACTTATATTCTTTCAGAATACTTACCAGGTAGTAAAGAACGTAAAGAAATAGAAGCCGAATTAAAAAGATTATCTGATAATGTAGAAGATGTTCCAATTATTATTGGTAATGAAAAAATCAAGACTAAAGATATTAGGTATCAAGTTATGGTAAGAAATACAATTCATATACTAGTAATACTATTATTTATGTTATAAGGTAGTAACTATACTATTTATTTATTTTAGAGTATTAAATAATATTCATGTTATAATTCATTTTATTTAAAGTTTGAATTTTTTCAAAATAAAATATTTAAAATTTTATAATTAAATGTTTTATATCTTTCAATTAAAGATTATTATATAATAACAAAATACACATATTTTACAGTAATTTTTTAATTATTACAAGGCTTATTTATATGCTATCTCAATTATAATTTTAAATCATGAGTCAACATTAACATATTTATCTTACATAAAAATGATTGATAAATATTATGATTATTTTTTTGGATTTGTGACAATTGTATAGTGTATGAGTTGTGTATGAGATAAATTTAATATCAATCTTTCTATATATTTATATTGAACCATAATATCTGTAGTTGGTATTGATTATTAATACATTTTTTCTGTTTAACACATATGTTTCTTGATACTTAAATTGAAGGCCATTTTAATTTAATTTGAAAAAAATACATTAATAAATACTTTTTAAATCTTGATGAACAATGTTTTATTGAGTAACCTCAAAAAGCAATAGTAAAATAAATGGTTCTTTAAAATATATTTTATAATTTGATGCAATGATTTTTCATTATTTTATTACAGTGTTCTCTCCATTATCTGCAGCTTTCTATGAACCATGTACATAAAAAAAAATGTTTCTTTACATAATGTATACATAAATCATTACGGTTAAGTTAATTGTTGAAAAAATTTAAATTTTTTGTTAAAAAGAAGGGTTTACAAAAAAAAAAAAACAGCTTGTTACTGATTTTTTTATTAAAAAATTAATAGCATAGATATTATAAGTCATATTATATTAATTTTTGAATAAAAATAATATGTATTCCTTTTTAGTTTTTTTAAATTTTGTATGAAATTAAAAGATTTAATTTTTTTATTATATAATTATTAAATTTTCGTTTTAATTTAAATTTAGCGGATTATCTCTAAAATGTTCTTATCCGTGGATCCCACCCTATTCTGTGAATGATTAAGAGTCTACTTATTCAATAATCAATTACTATTGTATTTAAAATATGGTTTATAATTATGATGAGTAAATATTAGTTTTATTTCTTAAATACTTGGTTAAATTTTTCTAATTTTTATATAAATTAAAAGCTTGCTCTCTTCAGATCTTAATAGTAATTTCAATGTAATATAATAGTAAACTTAACCAGGAAGGTATAAAGTAAAAATTATATTATATTATATATTAATTTATTTTTAGACCCCTCTATCAGACAAAAAAACATTTTTGAATATTTAAATAATTTAGAATTAAATAACTGATTTAACTTGTGACTTATTAATTTATTCATGGGTGGCGTGTTCAATTGTTTTTAATTTTAGAACATTGAATGAATAAAGTTTGTGAACCGTTGGTATAGTTATGAATTTATTTAATGTTGATCATTATTTGATTTTTTTTCCAACATCATTAAATTTTTTTGTCTTAAATTGAATTTTTCGAAAATATATTGTAAATAGTTCTAATATTTAAATGGTTCTAATTGTGTATATTTTTTTGTTGATCTTAATTATTCTACAAATGACTGAAAATATTTTGTTTTCTTACAGCCTCATAATCATGGCAAAAAAATCGCAAAATTTTACTATGCATCATCTGTAAGTAAATTTATTAAAATAGTAGGTATTTCTAGTTTTATTAATTTTTTGAACTTTTTAAATAGGATTTAGTAACAAAAGCAATTAAAGTTTCTACAGAAGCTCAATTAAAATGGGATACTGTTCCTTTAGAAGAAAAAATAAGTATTTGGCTTAAGGCCGCTGACTTAATGGCAACAAAATATCGAATGAAATTAAATGCAGCTACTATGCTGGGTCAATCAAAAACTGTTATTCAAGCTGAAATAGATGCTGCTGCTGAATTAATTGATTTCATCAAGTTTGTGATAAAAGTGAAAATAACTAGATATTAGTTATTTGTTATTATGTATAAAATTGTAGATTAAACGCATTTTTCGCCAAGGAATTGACACATTACCAACCAATAAGCGAAAATAAAAAGGTTACTTTAAATAGTTTACGTTATAGAGGCCTTGATGGTTTTGTTGCTGCTGTGTCTCCTTTTAATTTTACTGCGATTGGTGGTAATTTAGCATATACTCCAGCTTTAATGGTAATAATAAGTTTTATAATCATTTTTCTTGGTCATATTATACCACATTCGTTTTCAGGGATGTTCTGTTGTATGGAAACCTTCAGATACAGCTATTTTATCCAATTGGGTGATCTATGAAATAATGACTGAAGCAGGAGTTCCAGCTGGTGTAGTTAATTTTGTCCCTGCTGACGGTCCTGTATTTGGTGATACAGTTACAGCTTCTCCATATTTGTCAGGCATTAACTTTACTGGATCAGTTCCGTAAGAAATTTATTCATTATTTTATTTATATTTTATGTGATAATGTAGGTATTTCATTTAAAAAGTTAATTTAAGTAATTAAGAAACATTTATTCAAAATTTAATTTACTTGGTATATTATCTCGAAAATCATTTTTTTGATGGTGGAAATTTAAGAATTTTGATTAATAAATTAATAGGCATATTACAGGTAGTTCAATTACTAGTTATACCAGTAATTACATATTATTACATATTTATTTTTTCAAATAACATTTTACATTAAAATAAATATGCATAATTTAGAATAATTCTTGGTATTTATTCTGGTGCTCCAATAAGTGTAGCTTGTGTTTAAAGAAAGTGAGATAAAATAAATAGGTTAAATATTTTTACCGTAACATGTTGAAGTATTAAAAACTAAGATAAATAAATTAAAATTAATATTATTCATATATATTATACATTACATTTTACTTTTTTAAATATTATTTAAGTTGAATAAATAATCTGTTAACATTTTCATATTTTTAAATATATTTGAATCAATATTTTATTTTCAACTGAAATTTATTTTTATTTATTTTATATTTTTTTTTTCAAATTATTTATTAATTTATAAATTATTAAAACTACATATAACATAATCAAATTATTATTTCTTTCAATTAGAACTATGGCATAAGTTCAAAAAATAAGTTCATCATTTATTTTTAAACTAAAAATGTTATTAATGTAAATTATGAAAATAATTAATGTTATGATTAATTATTTTACTTCGTGATGCACCATACTTTGTTATTAAATAATCACCAATAGTATTAGTAATCCTTACTAACTGTGACATATCCTGAATGTTGTAGTAAGTCCAAAATTTTTCTCTTCCATCATAAAAATTTTGTTAGTTAATTATTTATTAATTCTAATTATTTCATTAATTTAAATTTGATATTCAACAATAAACAGAACTAAAATGTTTTTAATATATAAAACAGATGTAACTTCCTTTTAGATTTGAATTATTGGGATATAGCTATTATATAATATTAATATATTGTTTGTATAATTAATTTATGCTGTAAAAACTATTTTTTAGAACATTCAATCGCTTATGGTCTCAAGTTGGTGAAAATATAAATAATTATAAGAACTTCCCAAGATTGATTGGTGAATGTGGTGGTAAAAATTACCATTTTATACATCCATCAGCGGATGTGACATCTGTTGTTACCGGCACCATTCGTTCTGCATTTGAATATTGTGGTCAGAAGTGTTCAGCATGCTCCAGAATCTATGTTCCTGAATCATTATGGCCTAAAGTAATAGTGCTAATTATTTAAATTTATTTTTATTTATCCATATTTATATTTTATTATTTATTAATAGATTAAAGAAGGATTACTTGACCTCCGTAGTAAGTTGAAAATTGGAGATGTTGCTGAATTTGATTCTTTTTCTTCAGCAGTTATTGATGATAAAGCATTTAATCGTATTACTGGATATATTGAACATGCAAAGAAATCTCCTAATTTGGAAATAATTGGTGGAGGACAGTATGATAACAGGTTATTAAATTAATACTGACTTAAAAAATTGAGTTTCTTTTATTAATTTAATTTTTTATTTTAGTAAAGGGTATTTTATACAACCAACCATAGTTGTGACTAAAGATCCGTTGGATAAAATTATGACAGAAGAAATCTTTGGACCTCTCTTAACTGTTTATGTTTATAAGGACTCTGAGATTGATAAGACTGTTGATCTTGTTCAAAGTTCTACACCATTTGCATTAACTGGAGCTGTATTTTCTCAGGATAAGTAAGATGGTAACAGCAATCTTTTGTGGTTATTTATTAATTTATCATTTTCTTTTAGAAACTTTTTGAAAAAATCTCTTGAAACCTTGAAATACTCGGCTGGTAATTTTTACCTAAACGATAAGTCAACTGGTTCTGTAGTAGGACAACAACCATTTGGTGGAAGCAGAATGTCAGGTAAATTGAATTAGATATTTAATATCATGCTTATATATATTTTTTTATCATTAATTTATTTTATGTTGATAATTTAATATGTTTAATGGTGATCAGATTATGATACTTATTTATATATGTCTGTTGCCTACACTTAGAGACGATCATATTTGTTATACCTTCAGATTTTTTTTAAAAGAGTTACAATACATCTAAGAATATATAAGTTCTAACTTAAAATATTTATTATTATCATCCATCTTAATTTATAAATTATATATTGAAATAAAAAATTAAAAAAAATTAGTTTATTTATAAAAATAAAAAGTTATCACTAGATTTGACTATTTAAATTGCATATACTAAATCATTATTGGCTGTTAAATTTAATATTTTTGATTTTTAAATTTCTTTATGCTTCTTATTCTAACAAGTTTCTAATTTTATTTACTGAGAAAGACTTCAGAAGTAAATAAGTTAAATAAATTTAAGAAATTAACATTTTATATTTCTAAAATAACTTAAATTACCTATTAATATTCAACATACATTTAGTCACTTTTATTCATAGGTATTCTTTTCTCTAATTATTTAAAAACTTTTTATTACTATAGTGTTTTAAATTACTTTTTATGTTTTAAGGTACTAATGACAAAGCTGGTGGTCCCCACTATATTTTACGATGGACGTCACCTCAGTCAGTCAAAGAGACATTTGTACCTTTAACTGAATGGAAATATCCTTACATGAATTAAATTATATACAGATTGGAAAAAGATCTAGTGTTTTGATATTGTGAATAACATTGGCAGAGCTGTTATACTGATTGAATCTCATACTATCAAATTAATAATATTATAATTTATAAGGTAACATAAGGAGCAATTTGAGATTCCTATATGTTTTTTTTAAAGAGTAAATATTAATTGTTTGTAAAAAAAATCTGATATGATCTTTGAAAATGTAAGTATGAGAGATTCAATCAAAAATTATATTTAATTTATTATAATTTTTGTCCATTTTAATCTTGATAGACCCAATTTGTGAAATACCCATTATATGTCTAAGTTATAACATTATGACCGTTTTTACAGTATACTTAATTTTTATATAAATCAGTATTCATCACTATTTCAATTTGGTTGATATGTATCAGATATATTCATTCTTACCACAGTGTTTATATTAAACTTTATAATTTAGATTTGGCTTATAATTTATCATATTTAACGTGATAATTTGTTATATTTATTACTAACTATTGTTTTGAAACTGGAGTTATAATATTGTATAGATAGCCAAAAAAATAATTTATAGTGAAACCATATTTTGACGTAAGTCCATCAGTTATACAATCATCTGAATTAAATGTTCCAAATTTGTTTATAATATTGTTTAAACAAAATCCAAACAGTGATTATAAAACTCATTTTATGTATGTATTATATGAACTGAAATTAGATAAAATGCTATAAATCTAATACATTTAGTGCAATGAATAGGAAACAAATGACGTTATAATTGTCGGATCATATTTTTTTTATTTTTATTTTTTTTTTTAATGAAAGTCACTCCAATGTTTAAACCAGTAATGTCAATTCAATTAATTTGTGTATAATCTTTTTTTTTTTTTTTTTTTTTTTTAATGAAATGTTTTTAAAAGCTTTGAGTTGTAGACATGCTATTATTAAGCTATAGTCGTTCATCATAGGTATACGACTGTCTCAATGGTTTTTTTGATTGAAGTCTGATGAATCCTAGAAATTAATTAATTATTATAATGTTTTTATGTATAGTATTTAAAAATTAATATTTTTCAAATAAAATGTATGTTTAATGTTGAATTTATATTGTATAATTAGAGAAGAAGCAGTAAGTTAAGTTCTTATAATCATAAAATAATGAATGTTTTTAAAATTTGGTTTTAAATTTTCAATCGTGTTTGTTATAATTGGTAATTGAGCTGGTAAATTCTAAAGTTATAGTTATTGGCAAATGTGATTTTATAGGTGTTTATCTGATTTAATGTTTTCCTTAAGAAGCTCCCATCAAATTTTATTTATATTGCAAGATTTTATATTATTTAAATACACTCGGACTCAAACAAAAATTGATAAGCTACTGTTATTAGTGGGTTTTTGTCATGTTTTTTGTTTAATGTGAGTAATGACAAGATGTCAGTGGTATAGCGAAATAATTTTGAAGTTCAGGGCAATGTATTAAAAATATTCATATATTGATATACATGTTTATAGAAATGTAGCTTAAAGTTAGTTTGTATATATTAATTAATTTAAAATAATAGTGTTACATGGTGTTTTAGGTATAATTGGATATTATAGTTGTCATTAGGATATATTCTTTTCATTCACTAACTTCTTGGGCTTAGGCAATAGCTCTCCCATATTATGGTACATCATACCTCTGACTAATGGGTACATATCTTTCATATAAAAAAAGGGAATATCTGAATAATATCTAATAGTGCAGATTATATAAAATAGTTGGTTATTTTTTCTAATTGTAATAAAAAATGTGAAACTCCTAGATTGGGTGAGATATAGGGATGAACAAATTATGTTATAATATTCACCTTTTAAACTTGAAACCATTATTTTAGAAAATAAATTCTGACTGAAAGAGAATATCATATGGATCAGTTTACATTTCTAAATATGAAAAAGAATAGAATCAAATTTCTTAAGGTAAATTGGAATTCTAATGTTATACAATAATGACTATTGATTATAAAGAATGAAATATTTATAATTAATGACTATAAAAGAAATTGTTATAGCCTTAAGTTTAAAATTTGAAAGTTTATATATTTTTAATTAGAAACACTGATAACCATGGTTGTAGATTTACAAACCTTCTGATAATTAGAAAAATATATATTTTATATAATTTTGGTGTCGTAGTAGACTGAATTTATAACGACCATTTGAAGACTAAGGTTATCATCTATAACTAGGAACCGTGATTAAAAGCTATCCAAAAGTTATTTATTAGCCTTAAAGGAATAATGGGTCAATGATGTCAAAGCATCGATCGGTTCATAGGTCATCCGTGGACCACTAGTACCGATACCATGAATCATTTAGTAATAATCATCAGTGAGATGTTTAAAGGCGTCATGGACCATATGCAATCTGGAACCAAGGAAAAAATATATTCTTTGAAAATTGCAAAAAGATCAAAAACAATAAGTACCATAAATCTGTAAAAGTATAGTGTGCTGTGCACAAAATTTGAAGGCATGTAATTAATAGTGTTGTTCAGAAAAATGTCATTTAATTTATTATACCTAGCCACCCAGCTGAAAGTGTAATTTAGTACTTATGAAACGACAAATTAGAGGGTGTATGAAAGGATCAGATTAACATATTTGGACCTTATACTTTTTGTACTAATCCACTTAACCCATTTTCAAAGTTTTGAACTAATTATAGTTTTATTAAATATATCATCATTTACATTCAACGAGTAATAATCTATAAGCATGTGTTACAATGATCATAGAATTTTTTTGTGCCTGGAGTACTTATAAAAAAAAAAAACAGTTAAAAGAAATTAAGGTTTTATTCATTATTATTAAGTATTACTTAATCTTTGCATATCATTTGTTTACCCATAAGGTTTTCAATTTCACAAAAAGAAATGTTTTAGATTACTCTGCATGAAGTGAAGAAAATGTATTTTTTACCATGAATGAAATTTCTACGGTCTTCGACTAACTTTTTTTGATTTTAAATTTTGTTTAATAGGTGTATTTAGGAAGTAATTTTTTGAATTTTTATAACGATTTTCCAAGTTATTAAAAACAAACCATTTTTTATTAATTGAATAAAAAAAAAAAAAAACGGTGATGATGAAAACATATTAAAATTAACTAATAAATACTTGATTGTGTGTGTGTGTATGCAAGACGGCTGGTGGTGAATCAAATTCGGACGTTAATTTACTACAGAGCGACAGCAAGTAATTTAAATTATTCATTGTCGTGTTGTATTCATTTACAGTAGTCCTTTTTTTTTTCGACCTTCTTCACTCAGCATATTTTTTTGAAACCAATGGTGTATTATTTTCAAATTTAAAAAATATTTGACTTTACCTTTAAATTAGTCACCCATCTCAGGATTCCCCTTTACTCCTTACCTCTCATGGTTTTTAATTCTGTGCGTTTATGGTAAATACGCAAACGTTTTTTTAAAGACATACTGTAAAACTGAAATGTTATATTAAATTAAACCAGTGATTCTCAATTTTTTTTTGTTTAAGGCCCCTTAAATTTAATGTAAAACTGTCAAGGCCCCCTTCAATCAAAATCATGAATTATTTATTGTTAATGATATACTAAGTTTATATGCACTATTTCATACAAATAAATTATTAAAATGTAAAGAAAATAAATGTTTTTTAATATATTTTTGAAATGTAATCCTATAATCGTTTATAACTTAAATATATATAAACTAAAAATAATTGGTAATAATCTGGGTTGGGATTTTATAGCATTTGCATATTTCTTATGAGATGCTTAAAAAATAGCAGAGTAAGTTAAAAATGTCTTTCATGATACAGAGAACTCAAATAAAAAATTTTATTTTGCTTTTTTTTTTGCATCTTTTCTACTAATTTTTGCAAATTTACTAATAGCTGGTTATCAACGAATGAGTGTAGAATTCGCTTTATACAGTCCACATTCGTCTC